TTACGACTTATGAGCTGGACAAAATAACCAGCCTGCAAATACGAAGCGTCAATCTCTAACAAAATTAGTGCCACATACACACTATTGGCACACTGGAAAGAAAAGAAACATAGACTTGGTTTTTGTTTTGTTTTTTCCTTTAGAATTTAAAGGTGGATCGCTTACCAAAGAGCGCAGCCCTCCGCGTTTGGGTCTAAACACCAGCTCCTCCCGGGTGATAATGTCACAGCTCCCGCTGTCTTAGCCTTTTAGCTCCGTTATGCTGGGCCTTGTTCTGAACTCCCCACTAGTCTGCATCAACTCTTTCCATCCAGACTAAACGCGGAGCAGAGTGTTAGGGGGTTACACAGTGGGTGCGCCTGTTTGACGCGTGAAAGAGGGAAGAAAAGTTATTGGTCAGTGCTCTGAAAGTTGAATGCGGCCATTCAGCAAAACTGGGGCTGTTCTTCCTAACTGCAGAGCGAACCAGGAACGCAAGCTTCCCCCCATCAGGGGATAGACGGAAAAGTTACGAATGTTGCAAATTTTATTTTATCATTGATTGATTTTCTCTCTCTCGCAAACACACCGTGGAAGCTTGCATAGAAAAGGGTTCCGGGCTGTCGGCAGCTTCTTCCTTCTGCTTTTAATTTGCAGACTTGTCAGGGTTTTTTTTATTCCAGTTAAGGGGAAAAACAGAGAGACAGAAAGCTAGAAAAAATGTGCAAGGCCAGAATTTTCTTTTTATAAAATCAAGCTTGATTCGCAAAAGCCAGATTTTGAGCCCTACACTATGAAGTGTGTCACTGTAGATCCATGAAAATCTTATGCCTACACCTACATGCAATCATAAATCTGTGCAGCTGTAATGCCTTTCATTAGCTGCTTCCCGGTACACACCCACATGTACATATACACAGTGTGGACAGCACAAGCTGACATAACTCAGCTGCTCCTCGTTTTAGTTTGTTTCCTGATGAAAGCTTCTCCGGCAACACAACAAACATTCAGTTCAACATTCAGTTGTTCAAAGTATGCAACACATGCTCTGCAAAGTGAGCATTCTCATAGCCAAGTTGAAATTCAGGCAAAGCACAAGTTTAAAAGTTAAGGTACACTCAGAAAAATTCAGCAATTGAAAAAAAAAATTGAACTAATTGAATTACATGTACAGTTTCCATGTAATTTTGTTTCAGAAGTACAATGTAAAATGTTACTTTTAATGGAATCTGGTCAAATTAAACGTACTTGATTGGTATACATTCAGTTAACAGCAAACAATAAACAATAAAAATGATTAATAGTGATTAATAGTGATTACAACAATCCCTATGAGGATTGTTGTCCTCATAGGGTTTTAATGGAGTTATTACGTAGTCAGACCAGTTAAATGTAACATATAATGTTTTATTTTTCTGTGTAATACATTAAAGGACCTTAACCCATCATATTTTCCACACTAAGATGAAATGCATTTATGTGTGATGGATGGCTAACTACACACATTCTCTGTTCAATCATCACAACTTTACTTTATGCTTCAAACTTGCTTTACTTGCTCTGGGGAATGGAAGTGGAAGTAAATATGTGCTGCAACAATGTCTGATGTAATTACAGAGGGGGAAACAGGCTGTTTACATACATAAATACAGCCGGCATGTGTGTCTAAATCGAAAATTATAGTGAAAAATAGACACATTTCTGTGTTACAGTCTGTAATCAGTGGTGCCACAATATTCTCTGTGGGTTGAGATGTTGAAACACATTGCACTTATGGCTACACTTCAATTAGTAAGGTCATCACATGTTCTCTATCAGCCGTCCAGCACAAAACATGCTGTCACATCACAATCTGAAACCTCTTTACGAGTCAAATCGTCAAATAACTCTTTCTATCCTATCATTAATAAGATTTAACTGGCAGGGAGTTCATACTACCACTACTGCTTGCTCATCATCGTTTGTTTCATCAGATAATCACACAGTTTCATATTAATCTTAAGCTCAAAGTGAACATGTCGCTTCACTGTGGACCATGCAGTCCTGAGGGGGGAGCTGTCACATCCTACAACAGCTCTCTGTTTCCACCAAATTATGGAGGCTAACAATCAAACCTTACCGTTACATCATCCAGTGATATTCATACATGGGCACTGTCACACACTCATGTCGTTTCACACAGACTTTTATGGAAACTTATAAGAGCTGTCGTCATTACTGACGCACACTTCTGTTCAGTTTCATGTTTCAATTCCTTATTTTCCAAGAAATTAATGAAAATGCTGATCATTTACATCACTCATGCTGAAATTTACAAGCACTCATGCTTGTTTTTGTCAGATCGGTGGCCAAAATAGGCTTACCAAAAATTACTGTACAAATTTTTTAAACATAGGATGGATGAAAAACATTGAGCAGCAGCTCACCTGAACAAAACTCCTGTTTTTTGTTTACATTTAGAATGTTTTCAGAGGTATACGTTACATACTTCACATCAATAAAATGTCAGTATGAAAAATAAGTATGTAGATTTGTCCTGTTTTTATAGCTGGGATCCATAAAATCCTAAAATAGAAGCTTGCCTGTTATACTGTATGGTCCTTTTTTGTATGGTGTACATAATAAAATTAGTGATGCTCTGATCCATTAGTGCTCTTCAAGAGCAAGACCTTGTTTTTCTTTTCTTTCTTTTTTTTACAATGGCTCACTATCATAGTGAACTGAGACACATGCACATGTCCTCTGTCTATTAGGACATGAACAGGGCATGTACAGCCACGTGAAAAAGAAAGTTTTCACAGGACTCTCTGCAGTCCCGTGAAAAACTAAGTACACCTCAGTATCTTGTAGAACCACTTTTAGCAGCAATGACTTGATATAATTGTTTTCTGTATGTGTTTATCGGTCTGGCATATTGTTGTGGAGGAATTTTGCCTCACTCTTCTTTGCAGCACTTAAGCTCCTTGAGGTTTGTGGGATTTTGTTTATGCAAAATTATCTTAAGATACCACCACAGCGTTTCAGTGAGGTTGATGTCTGCACCTTGATTGGGCCACTTTGGCACTTTGAATCTTGTCTTTTTCAGCCATTCTGTTGTAGATTTGCTGCTGTACATGGGATCAATGTCCTGCTGATTGACCCAGTTTCAGCCAAACTTTAGCTGTCAGACTGATGGCCTCCACTTGTCAGTCCAAAGGTAATCACAGGTCTTCCAGAAGTCTTGTGGTTTGTTTAGATGCAACGTTGGTAACCTAAGCTGACATGTTGTTTTTAGAGAGAAGATGCTTTCTACCTGTCATGCGAACTGAGGACTGTAGGATCTGAGATGTGAGCACTGCATGGTCTGACCTTGGGAAAAAATTTGACACGTGACACCTTTGCGCACAACTGGATGCTCCGAACCAGCAAACTGTTACAGTTTTAGTAGAAGTGCTTACACTTTCTGATGATCTTTTAATGTGGTTTATTTGATCACCAGCACCTGGCTGCTGCGTTACGTCTGAATTTCAATGGGGTCAGTAAGGGTGTACTTCATATTTTCTGAAAAGAGTCATGTGAAAAAGATGTTTTCAAAAAGCTACAGAAAGCACCTGCAGTGAATGAGGCTGTAGCAGTGAAGTGAATATGCAAATTTTTTCTAGTAGTTTATTAAAAATGGGGATACTTTGCATCAGCACTGGGGCAGAACTAGAAAAGTTCTGGGTGAAGGGGGGTGGGTGTTCAAAGGCAGTTGCCCTCCCTTACCTGGCTGTAGATCCACCCCTGCATAAGCATGTAAGTTTCATGTTGTTTTATAGTGCTTGAGTAGATTTCAGGTGGAAATATTACATTAATTATTGCCTCAAATGCATTTACAAACCATTTACTGTTTTATAACATCTTATATTACAGTCCCTGGTTAGTTAATTGTTACCCTAGTTATACACTAATTAGGATTAATAAAGTGTTAATTACATAAAAATTATTACGCATGGGTTTATAGAGTGTTAAAGTATAACATACAAATTAAACATTTACTGAGATTCATTTGTTTCTTTTTTTTAAAATTAGACAAATTCAAGTGTGTCCTATTAATGAGGCTTTGTTCTTATTATATGTCTGCCCTCACAAAAACAAAGATACCAGATTAGGCAGTTAAAACATATCATCAGCTTAAAATGTTATGCAGTATTTCACTCATATGAGCGTAATAACTAATTAAGTACAACCATGGCTGCATACAGTAATTTTATGTCGAATGGGTGGATAAATTTGCTCTAGCCCTTGGGCGAAAATGTGCTTTTAGACCCCAGTTGTGAATGAGCACACACTATTGGGGGGGGGGGGGCAGCTTTATTATGCACCACAGAGTCCCAAATTACTGGAATACTACCTGGCCCCGGGTTTTCTGCGCATCCGCACAGCTCAGGTAAAACATTCAGGAAAATGCACCATGTGAGTTATCATAAAAACTACCACTTTAAGGATGTTAGAACTAGGTTTTGACTCAAGGCACCTTTACACAACAGATAAAAGTTACATATTGAATAATACTGATAATTATTAAAGAGCAATTACAGCACACGGTCTGGTTTACGCTGCTGATAATACATGGAGCCGTTTCAGAAGATTATGGTGCTGCTGAATGGTCCCGGTACTTTCTCTCCCAGCAGACACAGTTTGACATTTTCTTTAATTAGAAAACCACAGAAACCAAACTTGAAAGTCGAACGATTATTCTATACTGGTATTGTTTACAGTGGCAAGTGCCTACATAATGTAATTACTATGTTATTATATTATATTATATTATATTATATTATATTATATTATATTATATTATATTATATTATATTATATTATATTATATTATATTATATTATATCAGTGGCAGTGTCCTTTCTCACCTGGTTGTGTCTGTGGTGAGAAAGGGCATTTGAGCTCATCAAGGAGGAGCAGCAACCTGCTGGTAGACTTCCAGTAGCTGCCTCCTGGCCACCGCCTTCTTTCAGCCCCCCACCCCCACCCCTCCTCTCTCCGCTTCTTCCTCCTCCTCCTCTTCCGCTACTGCAGCAGTAAAACCCGGTGTCTCCTGCATCCATGAAGAGATCCCCCCTCCACGGCACCTCCCCCGCCACGATGGGCCGCGAGCAATTAACTGCGTTGATGTGTTGATATTGAGATATTTCAGTTATCAAATATGAATCATGCATTTGATATTTCTGGCCACTTTGCTCGTCAGCATCCTTTTGCCTTGGCTTCATCCATCTCTAGCTTCACTCGGTAGGTACTGCCACAGCCTGCTGGCTTTTTTGTCACTTTAATGTGATCGCGTACGCTTACCACTCTGTGCTTTGTGCTGAAATATTGTTTGGTGATGTGCTTTGGATCTATAACAGCGTTCCTCGGAAGCCACCGGGAATTATTGTATTTAATACGCTGCGTCTTTAGCGTGATGCTGCATGAGGGCAGACTACAGCATCTCAGCATCTTTTGTTCAGCTAGTAAAAACACAATGATCACTGTTATGGATATTTACTACGCTTGAATTAAGTCTAACACACAGGCTCTGTGTTTGTTCAAGTGCGTGATATTATCCAGGCACGCCGGATTAAATGAGAACAGTATTTATCTGGTGCAGTTTTTACTTTGGCAATAACCGTATCAAAAGTGGTTTTCATTTAAATGAGGCAGTTTATAGTCTGTGTTCCAAATCAGTGTAATTGGTGGTGGCTATTAGTTTTTGAGTATACTGCTGCATGTAATCACTGCAGATGAACTGTGTCATAAAATTGGCATAAAGCTAAAGCCACTTGCCTCAGTGTAACAATTGTGTTTAATGAATTAAAGATGATACCTTTGTGCATATCTGTAGTTTTAAAAAACATATATATGTATCTGTGCTGTAAAAAATCCCTTGCAGAGGTTCAAGGAGTAGAGGACAAGGTTGAGAGGGACGCAGTGTCGGCTCTGCTGAAGCAACAGGCAACTGCAGCACCCACCACAGACAACACAACACACCATGCAGTAGAGCATGTGATCACCTACCCCTCTCGGTTGATCTACTACCTAAACGAGGACTCTGAGAGTACCTACCATGACCTGAACACCCATGCTAAGAACCAAGCTTCAGAGGGCCAGGTATGTGGAAGAGGGGTGGATGAAGATGATTAGTGCTTGCATAGCCTTGATTGTGCAAAAAGTTTGCAAGATGTGTGGTCAAAGGTTGTAGTACATAATAATGCGTTGTTTGGTCTGATCCCAGTATTTCATGTCAGTTTGCTGTAGAGAATCAGTCAAAGCTAAGATAGTAGTCAAAATAGACCCACTTAGCATAGTTTACGTGTTTTTTTAGCAACTGGAGTGATGCCAAAGCAAGTGTGCTGAAAAAAGCACTTCTTCCCGTCAACCCACTGTACATTAACATCCGTCATTGATACAGCACATCTGTTCTTTGTGCATTGTGCTGTAAACGAAGTTGAAGGCAGACCCCGGAGGATTTTGGCTCAGTGAGACGCTGCTATAATCTTATTTGTTTTGCAAGCTACCATTATCTGCAGTGACTACTCTTTTTCTCTTCTACAGGCAGTCCACCTAGCCCAAGTTAGTTTCCAGTTAGAGGCATTTGGCTCCAGATTTGTTCTAGATCTGTCTCTTAACAAGTAAGTTCTCCTAATCTAATTTAACCACAGCGATTTATTTCACTTAAATTGGTTAGTGTTATTGATTGTGGGCTTTTTTTTCTGTGAAACTCAGAGATGTGTAAGGATTTTGTTTATCTCCCTGTCCTTGTTTTTTCCCCAAAATCTCACCACCAGACTGACTGAGTACTAATCAAGCATGAGACAAAGACGCATCACAGCCCTTTATGGGAAATGACACCAGATGATAAGAACATGTAAAAGAGTATTTGTTCTCAAGGTCATCTCAACAAAAATGACTAAATAGATGAAAACAATAGAATTTCAGTATCTTGTATCATGCTGGCCTTGTGACCAGCATCCATATAGCCTATCATAGACACTCTTCACTCTATAATACGTGGTGTACAATTAAGATAACTCTTATTTCCTGTTTTAAATCCTTTACTAATTTAAATATAAATCTGCTTGTTACAGATTTTGGTGTACCACAATAATAATAAATATAATGAAATTGTTGCCATCAGAAAGATACAAAATATAAAGACCAGTGTAGGACTCAAAGAGAACATGCATAAGTGCACTACACTTGTATTTCTATCATGACAGCACAGAGCAGACGTTCAGTGAACTGAAAGTCGACTCGGACTATGATACGAAGCGACGAACCACGTCGAGTAGCTGACTCTTGTTTGTAAATGATATGTATAATGTGTCAGAACAGAGCTTAATGCAGCATCAATTGAAGATAATGTAATCAGGGAAACTGTGGGTCAGCACGTTGGTTGCTAAGTGCTAAGAGCGACGTCAGCTCAGCAGCCAGACTAGTTTTATATGAAGGATTTTGGATAACCAACATCTCTATATTTAATGAGGATTTAATAAGCTTGCATCAAAATGAGGATGGAGACGGCTGCTCTGTGTTCTGCATCTATTGATTCACTCCCTGTATAAAGAAGCCTGGCGTACATGTGAAAAATTCCTGTAGGACGTAGTTACTTTTATGTTTTCTTATCATGTGGTTGGATATTCAGCTTGTGCCTGTGGCTTGCTGAGATCACAGAGGATGTGCCATAAACTTAAGATCCTGTAAACACGCTTTGAAATTACTTTACACAGTTGTTACTTCAGCTATAATGAAGGAAATGTTGGAGCTTTGGCTTCATAGTGGTTTGCGTATCATGTGAGTGCCCACGTCAAGGCTGATAAAGACTTGTAGGCAGTATGGAGCAATTAGTATTTGTTTTATTGCCCAAATGTACAAGTTCAGAAATCTTCTGCAGTCTGCGGTTTTGGAGATCACATATCGGCGCTGGGATATCTTCAGAGTGTCTGTCACCGCTATCTTCGTTTTAAGTTGAACATTTCCCGTGAGGTTTAGCTGAAATGAAAAATATATCGCTTCTTGTATCGCATGCATCATGTCAAATGACAGAAAAGTCTGTCACTCCGTTCAGGAATCACCACATAGTACAACAAGAAAATCTCAGCAGCAGTGAAGAGGCCTGCACGTGTGACCTTGATTCCCAGCTGTTTGCTTGTAGGTTCTCGACTAGATGCTTTTTTTGTGCAAGAATAGGGGTTTGAATTCTGCTTAGTGTTGTAGCTGCAGCAGCACTGATCTAAATATAGATAGGTCTGCACCCTGCTAGTGGGTGCTGCTTTATCTGCTCACCTCTTACCGTACCTGGAATTGTAAGCTACTAAAAAGATGATTTACAGAAACTAATACAAGTCTTACTTTTAAAGAATCTGGATGTTTTTGAAATGCGTTAATTAAATCGTCAGTGGCCACAATGGCGACTTTGTCTGGGAGATTTTCTTCCTTTGCCGTCTTTCTGAATACTTAATAGCATCTCCATATATTAAGCCTCAGAGCAGATTATTGCCTTGCATGAACAGCATGACTGTGTCATGTGTTGCTACAGGATTTTAGAGTTACATTTGATCTGGCGCCAGACGTGAGAACCTCCTGCAGCTCTTTGGTCCCTTCTCTCTCCTTTACCTCTTTGTGCCTTTCATGTGCTGCTGCCTCTCCAGCTGCATTGTGGCGCTCCGTCTCCTGTGAACCAAGAGACCTTGGGGCAGAACTCCCTCCTCATGGTCTCCACGCGCAACCGTGGCGCATAGACATTTAAACAGACACACGTCAAGATGCTCACGCTCCGGCGCTTTACCTTTCCACACTCAGTTTTGTTACCAGCCAGCCAGAGAGCCAACCACACACTTATGCACACACAGCCGTTCAAACACCGATACACTCTGGTGTGGCCCACTCTTCTCATCTGTCAAGCTATAAATAGCCCTTCACTCAGGAATCTCTCAGAGACTGCTCGCGCCTTGGCTCTCCTCTCGTAATGGTGCACTTCCTGTTCACATGCTCCAACGCATCACTCAAAAAAATGGTCACACTGCTGGTGTCACAATACAGAGCCACTATTTCCATCCTTTTTTTTTCTTGCTGCAGCACAGCTATATGTTCAGAGAGGAGGGATGTTTCCGTTTTGCAAGGTTACTCAGAAAAAAAAAAGCGCCATTGTGGCAGAAATTATCTCTTGAAGTCAGCTAGCAGACCGAGCGTGTGAGGGACGCTGACTCAGGGAGCTGCTGAGAGAACTGTTGTGTTCAAGGTGAGGTTGAGGCCTTAGGATAATTTATCGCATTAGGCTTTTCCGTTCAGTTTGATTTGGGCAAATCTGATGCAGAAGCAGGTAGCTTCATATGATATAATTTGCTTCTGTTCTGTTCTGTTCTCAGGGTGCTTTTGAGAGATTTTTTATCAAATCCAGTTTTATTTTGTGCATCTTCTGCCGGGCTAGTTAGTCATCCCCAGGTTACCTGCATAGTAATTTTTCCTGAGGGCAGACAACATTTAACATCTCCACTGCACTTTTGAGATGCCAGGGGAGTGTTTGTGCAGCCAAATGCGGGCCCGGCGGTGATGACTGTTCGTGTTTAAACGCCAACCAAAGCACTGCTCTCTCACCACTAGTTTAAAACCACAATATGTGAGTCAGAGAAAGCAAAACGAGACAGACAGACTCCTGCATGTTTTTTTCACTGCATCACCTCCTTTTACTCCTCCTGGCAACTCCTCCTGTTACTAACTGCAGTCTCTGTTTTCTTCAGTGACTTGCTGTCTTCAGATTATGTTGAGATCCACTATGAAGGAGAGAAACCTGTTATATCAAAGGTAATGTTTAAGTAGACACATTTCTCAGTTATTTTGCTGTGGTGGGCCATGTGTATGCTGCTTTGACCTTGCACAGAAATAGATAGATAGATAGATAGATAGATAGATAGATAGATAGATAGATAGATAGATAGATAGATAGATAGATAGATAGATAGATAGATAGATAGATA